TGTGTCCGAGGCCGCGCCGATCAAGATAATGGCTTGTGAAGGAACGAGATTAGCTCTGTTTGTGAGAAATCGGATTGTGTGAATGGGAAAGAGGCACAACCAGTGTGTCCTTGGTGCAGCAGCTGCCCCCCAAAAGTTTTTAGACTTTACAAAAGTCATTTGTTTAGCCTTAGCAGCATATAGCATATAGCTAGTACCTGTGGTGGATAACGGCTACCGTTAGCAACGGTTTTCTCTTCTACGTGCACTGTTGTGTGGACCAACACAAACACTTGGTAACGAACATCTATTCACACCAATAATTTTGTCGACATTTCATTTTTTGTTGAAGACTAAGTCAACGAGACCAAAATCTGGTCGAGATGAGGCTTGAAGGCGGGACATACACGCAGAGATCCAATCAGGCGACTACGTGTCTGACAGTGTGAATCATCTGTTCGTCCACCGGTGAATTGAAGTGTATTTGTACAAGTGTTACTTGATGATGAAGTAGTGGACGAAGTGTTGTCTGATTACAGGTCCAGGCTGAAACAACACCGACCCTAAAGCGGAGCCTTTTAAAGACCAGAACCTGACGGTGGTTGATGATATTGTCCCGCTGGCTCCGGTCCAAAGGTTTTTAAACACGCACCAAACATTTCGAGCCTTTCGAGCCGTCCTGCTGTCCTCAGAGTGTCTTTTTGTTGGAGCGGCCTTGGACACTGGCTGTAAGACATTCCTAAATCAATTGTCTGCAGTTAATTAAATGCAGCTTCTCTTTTGTTTCTATTTTGTTTTTTTGCGGCAACAAAACATACGAAAAGACGTGATGGAAAACCAGTCTCTGACGTCTACCTTTAATCCATTCGTTTATTACCATGTGACAGTAGGTAGAAGCTCACTGACAGGTCTGTTGAACTGAGGTGTAAAGAGTCCAGCCGTGGTCGACCCTTCATTTCATTGGTCAACATCAACATCAGTGACATTACTCCGTGTTACTGTTTAAAACTCCCAACTATAAGAACCTGAAATGTGGATTAACGACAACATGACAAGACTACGTTATGATAAAGTGTGTGTGTGTGTGTGTGTGTGTGTGACCTTTGTCTCTTCATTTTAAAGGCGTTCTCTTTGCTGCCACAGTGGGATGTGAGTGGAAACACAGACGTGGAGTTGTTATTGGTTTGCCCTTCAGCTTGAAAGGCTCCTATTGGCTGGAGAGCTGAGGGCTTTTGTTCTGGTGTCCAGTCTGGGCCTTTCTTTTTTAGAACTGTGCCCTGGGACACGTGTTATCTAAACAGCACATGTGAGAATGTCTGACATTAATCTTTAATTAAAGCCTTTTCAGGATTGGACAGCGTGTGTCTGAGCATTAACTGTAGGGGGCAGACTCCAGCGAGGAGGCTCCGTCCACATAATATACATCGTGCGGCGCTCACTTTAGTCCGGTCGGAGTCGAGGCTCAGATGTGACGTTTGGTTAATCACTGTCATGGAGGCCTGGCCTCGAGGAGAGAACGGAGAGAACGGCCTGATGTTTGTCTCCACAATAATCCACACCGTGGTCCTTGATGAGATGATGTCTTCAGCTCACTGTGTGAACACATCAAGGTTACTGCCTCACTCTGGATCCTTTCCTCCCTCATCTCTCTCTCTCTCTCTCTCTCTCTCTCCTTTTTTTGGTAATTGGCTGTGGATCTCATGTTGAAAGAGCCAAGTGATAAACCTGCTGCTACAACCAGCACACACCCCTGAAGCCTTTCTGTTGTGACAGCTGCTGCCTGTGTGATGTTCCACAAAAAGCCCCCCAGACAAAACCTGTTTCATTCTTGGCTGAAGTCGCACGAGACAAAAGGAAAAAGTGAAACAAAAGAGCAATTGTGTAATTGTTTTGATTATTCCTTTTCTCTGCTCCCAGTTGAGCAAAGACGTTATGAAACTGAAAGTGA